CAAAGAATTTTATGATTATTTGTAGCAGTGTGCTTAAAAATATATATAAAAAAACCTCACTGAAAAAAAATCCCAACCCCCTGAGTCTTTAAAGGCAATAGGTTTTTTACTTGATTGTTTTCCCCTGTGATTTCCTATCAACAAGGAATAATGCCTTTATAATGAAACCTAGACTTTTTTATTTCTTCATCCACAATAAAACACAAAATCCTGTATTTGTCTAAATTGATGAGTAGCTGCATTGCCTTCCTTCATAAGAACCCTGCTGGATGCTTTTCATGTTGTTCAGCTACTTGAGAAACTGCATAGTGGCATGCTTGCTTCAGGAGGTATTAGGAATTTGTATTGTTGCACAGCTATATTCAACACAAACACACCTCAGCTGTGGTCTGCAAAGGGATGTATCTATTAACTATTTCTACAGTTTCAGTAGTAGTAAGTAGTTAACAGTTTAAAACTGTTGTTACTTTTATTCTTCATAAAAGTACAGAACTGCAGCTTCCTTTATCAGTAAGATGCTAGAGGAAGTTTTTGAGTGACAAACCCCAGTATTACGTAGTCCTTTAGAGAATTCAGTTTTCAATGCTGGTGAAGGTATGGATTTGAAAATACTATAAAAACGGCACTAACAAATTAAACATTTTTTTTCCAATATCTTGCAAACTAGGATGTTGAACAGAGGAGACAAATTCAGCATTTTATACTGGTGCAAGTTAGAACAAGATACTGTCTTGACTTCTAAAATGTATGTGTGAGATCAGGTCATCTTGTGTGATACAAGCTCTGTAAGGAGATAGAATTCTGGAAGTTCTGTTTATCTGAGGAAGAGGGAGACCATGGAGATGTTTGGCAAATCAGGAGAGCCAACCATGTAAGACTCAGGCTACGTTTTGATTGCCTTATTGCACACTTCAAAAGGCAGAATTGTATGGCTTATATTCTCCCATATTAATAGAAGTGATAAACTTAGCTGATACTAACCCCAAAGATCTGAGGCGCAGTTCAAAGCTGAGATGTGTAATAAGATGTAAAGTAGATTTCCTCTGCCCTCACTGGGCACCATGTAGCATAAATGGGAATAGAACAGTCATGAACAAGGCATGGGTTAAATCAGATAAAATACAATCCTCAATATATACGTAGAACAGTATTTTGAAGGTGAAACACCTCTCTTAGACAGCCATACTTCTGCAAATATAACAAGTTCAATAAATTATATAAAATGTCTGCTGAGAGTTTTTTTGCAGGGGAAAAATAGGAACTGTATTTCATCACAGAATAATCTATAACAGGTTAATCATTTACCATGATAAAATCTATTATTCCAGACTCATTCCAGCCTGGTATATGTCTAACCTACTTTTAAAAACATCCATTTAGGATTCCATAGCTTCTTTCTGAAAAACATAGAGCCATATCATGTCTCTGTCATCTGGCAGTGTTTCTTCTAACCAAAGACTGCACTGAAGTCTAGAAAATCTGTACTTTGTTCATAGCTCGCTGGAATCCTCTTTTGTGCCTTCTATTTATCAATGAATGTCCCAAAAGACAGGCAGCTTTCTACAAGTGCTGAAAAGCAAATCAATCTAGCACCCTGCAGTTTTCTGTACACATGACAATAGCCTTTGTTAGCATAATGTATTACAATGCATTATGTAGTGGGTCTCTGAGGTTTAGTAATCCCTGTCAGCAACCAGAATAAATGGAAATAGCTTCCAGGAGATGCAAGGCCTATGAAAAGACTGTTAGTTTTCAAGAACTAGAAGTATTCAAACTCACACGTGTAGCATCTGAAACAAAATCTCATGAACAGTCTTTCATCACAATCATTTGTGAAAGTCAAATGCCTTAAGTGTACTTAAGAGATTAAAGAGAAGCTGGACTGAGTACTAGCAGTTCCTTACTTTCCCCACTGAAACAGAGATTTAGTGCATTCTTTAAGGCTTGGCAACAGCAGAAGTTTTTAATTTTGACTTTTTAATATGCTCAGACACTGAATTTGTTAGCTGAGAATAGCCAGGTTCCACATGAAAAATCAGCCCACTTAGTTATGGAGAGTGTCTGAGCCACAAGTGAGCCACTTACTTTTAATGCACAACTGGACTGAAAAAAAAATCACTAATATTAGATACTTTGCATGCACAACATAATCCTGCATGGAATGAAGGTGCATCACAACTACTGAACTGCTGAAGCCATAACCACCAGCAGCTCAAACCATGCAGTCAGGGAAAGGCATCTCTGACGCTACACTTGCCCTGCTTTTTGTGCCTTTCCCTTTGGCAACTCCCAGTGACCTTTAGCAGGGTGATAGCGCTAATCTAGCTGCAGCTTTGATCTGCTCTAGTACAGCTGTACTGGTTTTCTTATGGTATTGTAAGTTATTGACATATTTAGCAAAGTCTTTCAGATTTTACTAGTGTAGAAGAGTTAAAGGTGTAGTACCCAATACCTGCCAGAAGCCTTCAATTCAGATCAAATTATTAAAACACTCTCAGAAATGCTTAGGCTACTGTTGTTGATACAGAGATAACACCACTGTAATAAATACTACTGTCTTTATGCAGGCCTTCTTACTCTCTGCAGCATTCTGCTCTCCTGTTTAGACCTCCCTTTTTCCCTGTATTTTTCAAGCACTCATTGCTGTTCAGTTGAAGTTCTGGTTAAATGATCAGAGGCTTAAATGAAACTATCCTTTAATATCATGCTGCACTCATACCACAAGACATCAGAAAATCAAATCAAATCTCTTGCTAGAATTCCACAAGAAAAATCCTTATTCCCAAAGCATTAAAATGCTTCAGCCTCAGCAGAGTTGCCAACTACAATACTCATTACCATATAAAGCCATTGCAACCAACCACGATTGCAACCTGAAGCTGCAGTGCCACCATGGCTGCGCATCGCTCGCCTCTGCGGAAGCTTTCACTATTTAGCCTTCATCTCTTGATTAGATTAAATGAAGGTACAGATGTAACCCTATCCAAGCCCATTTATTCTATTTTTAACCTTGCAGACATGCAGAGAGATGCAGAGGGTAAGGGCAAGTGGTATTAAACTGAAAGAAAGATAGGAAACACACTATGGCTAAATCTGTTTCCTAAAATCCTTCCTGATCTGAGTCACTTATTCCAGTAATCCTATTTGTCGTTGTCTATACAACACTCCCAGTTTTCCTGGACTACTTGCATTACTTCATCTGTTACCATCTTCTCCAGTCTCCACTCTATCAGGCTTCACCTTTTACCAAGGTACCAACAAGCATCATATAGACCACTCAGAATCACAAAAAAGACTGACTTCATCCCATTTTGAATATACCTCATCCGTAATAAAATTAGCAACTGAAATACCTTCCCTCCTTTGCATATTTAGTGTTACCCTTTGCCTGAAGTAGAGCCTGATTTTTTCCCACCACAGTTTGATTTTGTCTTTGAAATAGTATGGAAGCTTCCCAAGTTGCAATCACTCTAGAATTCGAATTGCAAAGGGCTTGCATGATGCAAAACACTAGTTTATTTTCTTGAGACTGTGTTCCCTGTGGCAATGAGAATATCATCTGCTCATAAGATGACAGAGAGGAATCTCTTAGCAAAATGTAACGAGTTACCAATATTGCAACTAAAAAGATGGAAGCATGGTGAGACAGAAATAGAAGGTCCTTCTGCTGCCATGCCTCACCACCTCAGACTGCTTATTCTCAAGCTTAACAGTCACTGCTGTCTTTACTCACCAGCTACTATATAAGTGCTCTTTGAAGCCATTTATCAGCACCTACTCTCTGCTGAGTGGGGGAGCAGAGGGGGAGACTGCAGTTTGCAACAGCTGAGGGGGAATGACCACATACCACCTGTGTATGAGTCATTGCCCCTGATTGGCAAACTGACCTTCCTCCTGTAGGAGCTGGGTGGACATTGAGTCTGCTCTTACTAAGGCCAGAAACAAACCTTAACTTCAAAGAGCAGGATTGAGTACAATGCTTTTGGTCACTTATTTGCTTGCCTGTAACTATGTTCAACACTCATTCAAGTGGCTGTTGAAGAAGAAAAGACTATTTGCCTTGTGCTAACAGTGGGCAGACTCTGCTTTTAGCATACATGCATGGAATCTTGCAGCAGCAGTAACTATACTGCTCAGTAGGATGCTAATGGCATTGTGCAGTACAAGCACTCTCTGGGCGATCCAGCCAGTTCTTAACCCAGCAGACAGTGCCCCTGTCCAAGCCATGGGCTGCAGCTTTTTCAGGAGTATGCTATGGGAGACGGTGTCAAAGGCTTTGCTGAAGTCCAGGTAGACTACATCCACAGCCTTCCCCTCATCCACCAGATGGGTCACCTGATCATAAAAGGAGATCAGGTTGGTCAGACAGGACCTGCCCTTCCTAAACCCATGCTGGCTGGGTCTGACCCCTTGTCCATCCTGTAGGTGCTGTGTGATCACACTTAGGATGATCTGCTCCATGAATGCACCACTGTCTGCAGGACTGTGCTGAACACCTTTGCCTTGCTGTCAGGCATATTACATACCTGCAGTACTGCTGTCAGCAGTGCATTTAAACCCCTAGTCTTAGATTTAGGTCAGATCTCTGGGTCTTGGAGGACTTCAGATCTTTAGTTACTAAAACATTTAATTATCTGTTTAGGAATATGAGTGTCTTAACCACAGCAAGTGCTGTAAAAGTCAAGTTTTTTACTGTTTTTTAACAATTACCCCTTTCAAGTACAACCATTTGCAGGAACCATAGAAATTCTTTCTATATGCAGCAGTCTTGGTATGTGAGGAACATGAAGAGTAGGAATTGCTTCTGAAGTTATGTCTCTCTTACGTACACTTGTGTACTCTGCATTTAATGCAAGCTAAATATAAATATACAGTATGTATATTTATCATTAGTAGGGTTATCTACTCATCAGTAAACATATATTTTAGTCCAGGAGGGCCTATCTTTTGTTGTGCTTCCCTTCTGAAATACCAACATTTCTTTATTTCGTTCTTTCCAGCTCTGTTTTGTGATGTTTTGGACGCCAAACGTGTCAGAGAAGATTTTAGTTGACATAATTGGAGTAGACTTCGCTTTTGCAGAGCTGTGTGTCGTTCCTTTGCGCATCTTCTCCTTCTTTCCAGTTCCAGGTAAAAAATAAATTAAAAAATAAGAGCTTTGTAACCTCAAACCTAAACCAACAGTGAGGCATAATTATAGGGTCTGGCACTGCTGTACGTACATGGCTATATGCATGCCTAGCATGAGTAACACCATTTGTATTGACGCTGGTGAAGACCCAAACTGTTTACCTCGGTAGTCAAGATGCAAATCTTGCAGTCAGTCATTAGGTAGATTTATGACTGTCAAAAGTCAAGCCTGAATTCTTTATATTGTAGTTGATCAAGAACAAACACACAAATGACAGTACTGATACACGTGTGCCAAGATTGAAAGTACCTATTTGGAATAGCATCTAGGACCACCTTCACATTAACATCACCTTCATTAGTCTGCCCTTCTGCTGCCAGACTCGTTGTGTCTTGCAGATATAATCAGAGCATAAACAATATATAATAAAAGTTAATACTCCTATCAAAGAGTGAGACAAGCTTGGCAGCAATAATCGAAATGTTTCCCCTCAAAAAATTTCTAGCTCTGTAATTAAATGTGACATCATGTAGTGTTTTCTCCTTATATAACAAGACAGTTTCATAATAAAGGTAAGCTACAACTATAAGAATAATTACATGTACATATCTTTTTGTGTGTGTGGCTGTTACACCATGTACCACACTTGGAACCAGATAGAAATTTTGCCTTGGTATCATTTCTCTTTAGGGAAGGGGATAGTTGCTTTTTTAATGAAGAAAACAGATTGGACTGACTAATAAAATGGTTGTAAGAGAGCGGCTCTTAGAAAGGATTGCTGTTCATAACAGGATTGTTTGTTTGTTTGTTTGTTTGTTTTCCCCAAATCGGTATATTAAAGCAATTTGGATACAAGTTCTACTTCCTTTCTAGTAGGGTTTTCAGTGTGCAAAGTTACCAGCAACATTTTACAGTGGATATTTCTCTGCATGAAAAAGCAGCATATGAGGTAACTGACTTTTTTGTTTTACTACTCTTGCCTCTTTTTCTTCCCATCCCCTTCCCTTCCCCTGTTTATGAACAGTGACTGTCAGAGCACACTTGACTGGTTGGCTGATGACTCTGAAGAAGACGTTTGTGTTGGCACCCAGCTCAGTGCTGCGGATTATCGTCCTCATCACTAGTCTCATCGTACTGCCTTACTTAGGGTAAATCATTATTCTTCTCACAACCCAGTGGTTTACTTTCCTCTTCATTCCTGTTCCTTTTCACTTGATAACTGAATTTGCATAGCTCAGAACTTTTTCCCCAAATGCTAACCATGTTATAAAGCCTAAGTAATGTCAATATCTGGAGAAGAAACATTTACAAATTTACCAGTGTGACTGCTCTAGGCAGGCACGATAGTGATGTCCCTTTTGAAAAATGCACAAATGTCAAAGAGGCAAAAAGCATGTCCTAAGGGAAATTTATTTCCATGTTATTAAATGCACTGTTAAGAAAACTAATGAAAGAATGTCTTGTTTATAAGTTATCTATTCCACAGCACTCTGTACAAGACTTGAAATTCTTAGTCCGCAATTTGATTCAGTGTGCTTCTTTTACTAAACAGTGAAGCCATTAAGTCCTTTAAAATGCCAGTTATTCTCTTTGCCAGTGTATTTATTGTGTCTTTGAAGAATATATTTCTAACAACAGATTGGTTCTATATGCCAGTGAAAACATAGTTGTGAGTCATGCATTCTCACATAACCACAACTGTTTCTTTTTATGCCACCAACAGTGTTCATGGAGCCACTCTTGGAGTAGGATCTCTTCTAGCTGGTTTCGTAGGAGAATCCACCATGGTTGCAATTGCAGCTTGTTACGTCTATCGGAAACAGGTAAGAATTAGGCTCTGTGGGGTCTGGTGAATGCAGTTGATGGATATAGTGGATTTTAGTTCAGATTAAGAGTACGCTTTTGAAACATGACTCCCCAGCATCCCCACCTCCTGCATTTGGTTTGCTTCCCTGTGTGATCTCAGGAGCGTGCAACTTGGAAACTCCTTGGGTTGAAATAAAACCAGAAGGTACCCAACAGCTCCTAATGGGCATTCATGCCATGGGACCAGGCCACAAGATATGCTGATATGAAGTAAACCTCTTGCACCTCAAAACGTGTATCATGGACATCGTGTTCTTACCACCACCTATTTTGTGCTGTGTAACTGCCACTACAGTGCAACATAGCATCTTTATGTAGATATAGGAACTGCTCATCCAAGTGTATATATATGTATATAGAATCATAGAACCACAGACTGATAAAATGGTTTGTCTTGGAGGGGTCCTTAAAGTTCCAACTAGTTCCAACTCCCGTGCCACGGGCAGGGATATAAGTGTGCTTATGTCTTTTTGCCATCTAAAGAAGTGGCAGAAAACAAAATACTCTTCTGCAGCAGTTGATAATAACAGCTTACAAATAATTATACAGGTGAGGTTTTCTCATAGGCTTTTTTTACTCTTTCACACACTGCAATCCTGCGTGTACAGAGTAGTGGTGACACATGAACTTGGAAGAATATTCCACTAAATTGAGTCAAACACACGCTAAATGTTGGCTGAGTGACTGGGTACATCACAGTACCTGCATGTTATGTCCTTACAGTTAGTGTTCAAGGCACTGTGTAGGGCACAGGTCCAACTCCAAGCAGAAACAGCATGGTGTGTACATTATTCCGTAGTACAGAAGGACTCTGTAGGTGGGAGCAGAAAATATAATTTACGCATTTGACTTTTTTTTTTCAATTAGACTTCTTACTAAGTGCCAAGTGGAGATACCCACCACTTCTATTTTTGGAAAAAAATACAGAAGATGGAATATCTAAACTCCTTATACTGGAAAAAACTAAAACCCGTTTTGATATGTATTAACAGCACAGGCCATGGCAACAGATCAAAATGTACAAGGTTCATAAGACAATAGAAGAATCATAATATCTCTCATGATTAGTTTGTCATGTTTTTCTTGAGAACCAAAGAGTAAAGCCTGTAGACACTGAAACGGCTTGTTCTTGGCCTGTGATTTCACAATATATATGTGTTTGGACCAGTGTCCTCATTGCTTGTTTGTTAGACTCATACAGTGTTTCTGTTTGTGCTTAATTTTTTGCAGTGATGAGTTCAGGTAGCAGTAGTCATAACTGTGCTAGCCTAATTTATTCTTCATTCAGTGTGACAGTGGCAGAGCCAAACAGTAGCTATATACACCAAGTTGTGTAGACACCTCTGAAATTTTGAAACTCTGATATGCCCAGTTCAGCTGAATCAATAATACCTGTGGGGGATATTTTGTCAGCTGTACAATTGTTTTCAGTAAAACTAGTCAGCCTGCTGAGAAATGGGTAATGAGGAACAGATGCTTCACCTTGTTTGCTAGGGAGCTGAATGCTTCTTAGCTTTATTAATCCAGGACATCCTGAATGAATCATAGGACTTTTGAATGCCCTCCTGCTCCTGCTAGCCAAAAATACTATAATATTACTTGACCTTGGTGGGGTGGGGAATCACAGTGGATCAGCAGGACCAAGAAAAGCCAGAATTCTCCCATCTTATAAAATTCCTGAAGTTTGACATTTGAGAAATTAGGTTGCCACCTCTATCTTCCTCCCTAGAGCAGCTTTTCTCCTCTCATATTTTGTTTTCTTTTATTTTTTTTAATAAAAAGTCTCTGATGTAAAAGATTCCAGCTGCTCTCTTCCCTCCAGCCATGCCTGTTTTGGATGTTACTTAGCATATGAAATGCCTCTGTGATTGCATTTATGTTAGAAAGGAGAAAGCTGAGCCCCAGAAAGGTTATGGAAATCTTCTAAGTTAAGTGACAAGCCACAAATATGACACAAATATTCTAGTTATTGATGACATATTCTAAACAAACCATATTCCCACCTCACTTCTCCCAGTGCCCAAAGTCTGTAGGAGACTATTCGTGCACAACTTACTGATAGGTTTCTGAATGCTTGTTTCAATCTAGAAAAAGAAGAGGAACGAGAATGAAACAGCTGCAGAAGGTGAAGACTCTGCAATGACCGACATGCCTCACACAGAGGAAATGACAGACATCGTAGAAATGAGAGAAGAGAATGAATAATTAATGGGATGCAATTGTTCTCTGCAGGGACGATTGGAGTGACACTTCAGCATCTTGTCGTCTCTCATACTTTTTTGTTTGTTCGTTTTTATTTTTGTAATAAAGAGGCCTTGATTTAAAAGGTTTCAGATAAATTCTCTAGCATACTGAGTATGCTCTCACTGATGAGGGACCTAAAAAGAGGTCTTTGCTTCTTTTTTTCTTTTTCTTTTTTTTTTCCCAATTGAATTTGTTTTCTCACTCCATGCAAACATAAAAGATACAATTGCATCACTGTAGAGTCTTCCTTACTTATGCATCCACCTTCTCTGGACAATCTGCATTTGTCAACCAAAGCCCTGCTCTCTGTGCACATGTGTGTGTGCAGGCATGTGCTTGCACGCTCGCACACGCACCCTGGCACGTGCCACTGGCTCAATGCTACTGCCATAATCCTACCCCCTCCCCTCTTTCCTTTTCCTTCCTTTTCTTTCTGAGAAATGTAAAGGAAAAGAAGTTTGGAATACAGAGCTTTATTTTACTTGCTTGAAAATGACTTTGCTACATAAACTAATATACTATGGTGAACTATATCTTTTTGTTTGGCCTCATCACTAGAGCTTATACTGCACAGGGTACAATGCAGGGAGGAACGTGTGAGTCTCCACATACAAAGTGGAGAAAAACAGGTTCCTCTCTCATGTTAAAAGTGTGTGGATGTGTATATACACACACAGGTACATAAATAGAGAGATACATATATATATTTATATATATGCATATGATAAATGCACACAGGACAAGAACTCTATTTAGTTTTCATTCCATCAGAAAGACAGCAATGTTTTGAAAAATGTAAACACTTAATTCAGAATTTTCTTGAGCCATTAAGCCCCACCTTACATACAATTAATTTTCTTTAGGAAAAACAACATGCACTTTCCTCTTGTGAAGAGGGTGATGGCAACTGATAGACTTTGACTGTATTTGAATATGACAAAAATAAATATTGACAAGCTTTACCAAAGTTCTTGTCCACTGATCTAACTTTAACTTTTAAAGGTTGATTTGCTCTATATACTTATTTCTGGTGCCTCTATATTTAAAAAAATAATCTGATGATAACATATGCAGGATACCATGATATATCACATTACTACACATAGTTCCATGAAATCTTTTATAGAGAGATGTACACATACTCAAATACATGTGTGTGTATATGTATATATACTTATATACACATGCACACACACATACGTATGTTTTTGCTGTGATTTATTTACCTATGCAGTAGATCAAAATCCATATGGTGAAGCTCAATTACTGATGGTCCTCCAGGATGATGATTAGGGACTTGGATGCTATGTTTGCTCTCAAGGCAGGTGTTGGGTGGCAGCAGGAGCTGCTCACATCAGTCAGCCAGTGCTGTGCTCGGAGCAGGTGGCTGGCGCTGTGTGAGTCTGGCTGAAGTGGGCCTTAAATAACCACGTGTGAGGTTGGGTGGGTGACTCAAGTTGGGTGGAAATGAAGCCTTTGTAAGAGATGATGGAACCAGGGAGGTTTGGGGTGTCACTGATGATGACTGTGGCAGCAGCTTGTATTTCTGTGCTCTTCTGTGTTTGGCTGCGGGGCGGCGTTTGTTACCGGTTTGTAGGAGCTTGGATTCTTTCAGATTTAATCGTGTCAGAGTCTGGAAACCATTATCCTCCATCCTATATCCATAAGTCAGTTAATTTAAACCTTATTTAGTAAAAATATATTTTTCTAAGTTGTGGAAATTATTATTTAATTGTGGACAAATTCTATTTCTAGATTTATTTGCCAGGTAGTCCCAGCACTCAGAGAACTGATCAAAACTAAACATTACTTTAAAATGTTATATCAATATATGTGTATGTAGACATACACATGTGTATAAATATATATATTGTATATTATGTACATTTATTTTAAACTACAATACATTTCCTATTTTTCCAAGTTCAGCTAAAAATGTCTCTTCAAAACTATGGAGTTAGCTAGTAACCAGTTATAGCCATCATGAAAGGCATTGTATCAATGAACTTTACATTTTATTGGAAACATTTGTACCAATTTGTTACATGTACAAATGCAATAAGAAAAAACGTAGAAATTGTTGTGTTAACTGACAGATTTGCAAAATCGGTTCACGGTTAATGAGCAGTGGCACTAGGAGGGCAAGAGTAAATCCAGTAGCCACATTTTCTGTGCCACCACAGGGTAGATCCTAGTTTTGGTAGTAGTTTAGAACAAAATTTTAAAAAAACAACCCTCAGACAAGTTAACTGTGTGCAGTATGTAGACTGTACACACTCATGAATACAGGTTCTCAAACAGTCATATGTATATAATGTGTATATAGACTGTTACGGATCACAGTGACCATTTGAGGTCTCCTCTATTCATGTAGTTTTGGTTTCTCCAGTACATTTGTATCCAAGTCCACAAGATGCAGTTTTCCAGAAACTGAAGCAAGAAAATATTTTTGTGTAATATTTCTTTTGGTACATGACTAAAATTCAAACAGCAGTATTTTTGAAGAGTTTTGAGCATTACCAATGTTGTTTCAAGGAAATAATTTTACCAAAAAGTGAAAAACTGAAAACAAAGGAAAACACTGAAGCTTGCGCTTTAGATAGAAGAAGAACAAATATAAAAAAAACTGAATTATTGGTCATACAGAGCTAAACTTAATGGTATTGTAAAAGATAAATTGTCAATTGTGTGGTTAATACTTATTAGTCCTTTACTTTGCAAGATACTGATTGAGCACAGGAGTGGTGGGATTTGGGTGAGAATTCTAGCAGTGACATGAGGACATATGTATCTCTTCATGTTTCCTGCGGGTCATATTTCTTTATGCTCTGCTGGGTTAACAAACTGTGATGACATTTCTGCAGTGAGCAGGTCCGAGCCAGCCTCTGGTGCTGGCCCAGGTGCTCACTAGTGGGCAGGAAGGGTGCTCAGCAGGACGGGGCATGTCCAAGGAGAGCTCCCTCTGTCCCCTGCAGGCACTGGTCCTGCTTCTGGGTACTGTTGGCAGGAGCTTTAGCAACCAAAACCTCCCTGCTCTGGTTCCCAGTCAGTGGCAAATTGAGCTGGGCTGGTGAAACAGCCAGTGTGATGGGTTACAGGCTGGCAGTGGGCAGCTATCCTCTATGGCCAAAGCCTCAGTCAGAGTGTTACTAGTTCTAGTATCTCTGTCAGGCAGATGCTGCTACATGCCCTGCCCTGCATCTCATCCTTTCCAAAAGGACTTTCCTGAGTTCTAGTAAAATGGCTTAGCTGTCTCTCTCTTGTGCTGTTGCTTATGAAATGGCTATCTATCTCTGTGGTAATTATTTTATAATAGGAACTTATTACGTTTCTGTGTCAGAGTCATCTCAATGAATTCATGTGGAGACTTGGCCTTTCCAGACTGAATTATACAATCGAAGTTAAAATGAAAAGAGGAAAAAAGTTGATCTGCATCCTACATCTTATATTGCAGGACAACTGACATAGCAGAAAATAAGAGCAGAACCACCGATAAGCTGTGGATTAATGTTCCTTGGCTTTTAATACGTATGTAAAGTTGTGTTAACTTGTCTTGAGTTTTCCATTTTCAGAATTAACAGGACACACTGGGGGTTTTCCCCTCACTGCCCTAAGCAGGCTCTCACGCTTACCAAGCATTGGACTTGATGGACAAAGCTCTGCATTTCTGAGCCAGTGCCTGAGGCCACTTGGGTGCACCAGCAGGTTCTCAGGCATGGGGCAGTCCTACTCCCCATCCCCTGGCACAGCCATTCCAGACAGGAGGGCTCAATTCCCTGTTGTTAGATAGAGCCACCCTGAGTGAGAGGATTGGGTGAGTAACAGAGAAGTCTTTTGTTTTCTACTCATTTTGCTGCTAAATATTTCCTTTGAGCAGGAGAGATTTATATCTGGCTCTTGCTTGGTGTTTCGCCGCATCTGCAGCCAGAGAGGGAGCAGCCTGAGACAGGGTGAGCTGATGAATGCAGCTGATTCAGGGCAGGCCACAGCACACAAACAGAAACCTTTTGAAGGCAGGAGCGCCTTCTTTTGTGGGATGGCGCCTCGTGCTTAAAAAGAAGGGAGAAAGAATGCTTTCAGGCCCGGGCACCCAGAGTCATCGGGCATAGTTTTGTGTTGGGCTGCAGTGTGACAATGGGAACAGGGCATCCTGCAGCTCCAGCATCCCAGCCCCTCTGCCAGCATCCTCGGCGGAATGCAGGACAGTGTAGGAATGGTGAGGCAGCAGTATTGGCTCTGTTTCTTACAGATTTTGTGGCTGTGGCATGGTCTGCACAGGTTTGAGTGCAGCTGGGTGTTACCTGGGGATAATTGTTGCAGCTATTAGTGTATTGGAAAACCATGCACATGTATGTGGGAGTGTACATGAGAGTGTTGTGTGGGCATTTTTACCAGGATCTTCGTATATTTCATTGGAACGAGGATTGAACTCTAAACATGATATTAATGTGGGACTAACCCTAAGCTGCTTGTAAAAATTGCAATTTAATGCTACAAAAGAGTAAATAAAACAGCAGACCTTATACCAACAAGCTAAAGCATGATCTAGATCAGTAAGCTGGAATGGGAGAGAAAGAGGACATGTTGGAAAGCTTATGGATGTTGTATATCCATCCTAAAGACAACAGCATGGCGTGGAGATGAGATCAGAGGGCAGAAAACACCAGAGCTGTGGCTGCTGCCATTTCCCTTTCAGCTGCCCTGGAGAGGGACTGAAGCATGAGGAGCAATGTGTCCATACGATACAACTTCTAACTGTTTTGGTTTCTAAATGGAGGAACCTTCAGAGAGAAGAGTATGAAACATCTTAGGAGATGATTCAAGCAGAAATAAACCAGCATGCAGATTTTATAATGTGCAGTGAGGAGGCACTACGTAGCTTGCAGTTTCAGAGGAACTGTCAGGGCTGCATTGCAGAAATGTCATGTAAACATTAATTAAACACAAGACAAAATTATCACAATTTTGCTATCAAATTGGCATTTCCCAAATACCAGCTTAGCCATAAAATGTTAAGATTCCCTTCCCTCATTCTTGTTTGGCTTTTTACTAGAATTCAAGTGCAGAAAACCATCTT